AAACCCAACACTTTTCTCTTTCGTATATAAAGTTGCCCTTTTCGGTCTCCGATCTTTTGCTATAAAATATCTCCATTAAAAAAAGTACGACGTCTCTAAAAAAAAGTACAACCCATGTTCATAAATATTAAAAAAAAAAAAAGAGATTAGCTCAACTAATTTAACTCATTAAAAAATTTAGTTCAAAGGGAGGAGCCACGGCATGTCCAATGACCCTAAACCCTAATATTTTTCAAACCCCAATACCTCACTCTCCTGCATAAAGTCGCGATTTTTTGGTCTCCCCCTCCTCGTAAAATCTTTTCCCCGTCTCTGTTTTCAGATCTCGGCTTTGTAAAGATTCTCATTTGAGGTAGCTTTTTCACGAACCTAGGGTTTCAATTTCGCCTCCCCCTCCCTCCAATCCCTAGGGTTTTTCCTCCCCCCACCAATTTCCTGCAGAAAGGAGGGGAATCCCTTCTGGGGTTCGTTAGGGTTCATGGAGAAGGACAAGCTGCCCCCTCCTCCGTCACGCTACTTCCCGTTGAAACCTGAGCCCTCGGCCTCTTCGTCCTCGTCCTCATCCCAAGTTCCGGAGGCTTCCTCGGGCGGTTTTAGCCATGATATCAGCCGGATGTCCGATTTCCCCGCCCGGAACCCCGGCCATCGGCGCGCTCACTCGGAGATCCTCAGCCTCCCCGACGACCTCAACCTCGACGGCGACCTCGGCATTGTGGGCCCCTCCGACGGCCCGTCGCTATCCGACGAGACCGAGGAGGATTTCTTGGCGATGTACCTGGACATGGAGAAGCTTGGGTCCACCTCCGGGCCGGAGCTCGTGGGCCCCGAGAGCTCGGCTGCTGCAGCGGTGGGGGGATCGTTGTCATCGCCTTCTTCTTTGACGAAGGATGGGAATCTGGGTCCGGGGAGGAGTGAGAGGCCGAGGGTAAGGCATCAGCATAGTCAGTCGATGGATGGGTCGTCGACGGAGCTGCTCGGGTCTAACTTGGAGGGGATTGAGGGGAAGAAAGCCGCGTCGGCTGCAAAGCTGGCTGATCTTGCGCTTGTTGATCCGAAGAGGGCTAAGAGGTTGTATTTATGTCATTTGTTCTTGTTTCTTCTTGTTCACATTTTGTGTCTATTTTGCTCGATTGATGTATTGTTGTAGATTGTGATGAAAATAGCCAGAAGTGCCCGTTCCTAGGTTGTCTACACTTAATTACAAAGTCCTGCATGCTGAGTCATGCCCAAATTTCTTTAGAACTTAGCTCTGGTATACATGCCCGTTGTCATAGGATGGTTGGAACTTCTATCCCTGCGTTTGCATGCTAAATACACTATATATAATACCTCCAAAATCTTTAACGTAGTTTCTGTTTTTCTTATGTGCTTAAGAACTAAGAACTGAGCATCCAAAACCGATTTTTCCCAATCCACTAAGGCACTAACCCTGGAGACTATCTTAGCCGACTGTGACTGAAGTCGTATGACTCATTTCCTAGCTTTGCTAAAGAGCTAAGATCGTTCCCATTTATTTGATCAGTGTCGAACTTATAAAGAAATCAGAAATCTTATTAACGTTCTTTAGTTAGCGATTCATTCTTATTGCAAGTATGCTATTGCTTGTGACTAGTTTATAACTGCAACATATTCCTTGTACGTAATTCATTGGTAATGTAGCAAACTAGCAATGATGTCCATCACGGAGCCAGGTTTAGGTTGTGGTGCATAATTTATTTATGAACTTGTTCATATGCTCGCAGAATAATTTTTTGCTCCCACGCGGGTACATGAACTACGCAAATTACATTGTAGGATATGCTAGTTAAATGTGAGTGCTGTTGTCATTGTCAATCTGCTTTTTTTTTTGGTTGGGGGGGGGGGGGGGGTGT